CTGCACATTTAACCTTGTTTCATTGTGCTGATCTCTTTAATGATTCTTTTAAATGAGAACTATTTTTCAAATGCAAAGAAGACGTAGAAGAGTAGAATTATTTTCCAGTTTCCTAAGTCTGTTTCATAATCGGTTTTAACAAAAAATAGCTGAGTTCTCACACCTGCTTCTGAATTCAGCCTGTGGTGATAGTTTGTTTTGGTTGCAGTATGTACAAAAGACCCAGCCCCACACAGATATGCGATGGGCGGGTTAGAGAGTTGAAATGACCTTTTCAGGAATTGTGAGTTTTCTTTGATATCTCACCCAAACTTGACAAGTGATCATGTGTAGGGAGGTACATCATACATTCTGAACCTATTCTGTTACATCAGAGTTCAGTGATCGGTCTTGTGTGTAGACTAGGACACTGAAGGAATAGTTAAGGCGGTTATAACACATCCGCATAATGGCATATTGGGCAGCCATATTGAAAGAAGTATTTCACTGCAGGCGAAATGCTCACAAATGTAATAATTGTCTATTTAGTATGAATATATTTTGCTAAAAATGAAGTATTGTTTGAAAGGAAATTTATTGAAATAAGGATATATTTAGTGATACATTCATGGGTAATATTTTTTTCTTTCTTTTCCTTGCTTCCTTCCTTTCTTCCTCCCTCCCTCCCTCTTCCCTTCCTTCCTTTCTTTCTCTGCTTTTTGAGGCAGGGTCTTGCAGTATGTAGTTTAGACTGGTCTTGAATTCACTGTGTCACCCCAGCTGGCCTCAGAGTGCTTGAGCTTCCTGAGTGCTGGGATTACAGTGTGCGCTACCATGCCTAGCTATATATATAAATTATATATATAAATAAATTATATATAAAAAAATTATATATATAATTTTAAAGAGAAAAGACATTAAAAATTATACAGAATTTCAAAACAAGGTGATAGGAAATCAACAATGGTTATTATATTGCATTATTGTTATCTTCAAAGTAGTTGTTCAGATTACCAGATATAGGCATGCAAGATTGATAAAAAAATTAAGCATTAACTTTTCCTTTCAATAAATCAATGGAAATTAGTAGTACAATTATCTTAGCTATCTTGTGTATGTGTATATATATATTTTCCCCCTTATGTCTTTTTTCCATGCCTAGCAATAGTTTAGTTTCTTTATACTTCTCTGTGTTTTCCAGTTATGTATAAATAGTTCATTGCTTCTAAATCAGGTTAGGAGAAAGTGTGTTTTTTAAAATGAGAAAATAAGTACATCTGTTAAACTGATGCCCTTATCCATAGGTTTCCTTGTATAGGAAAAACCCCAGGATTGCCAAGTGTAGCAGAAATGTTGTTTTCCCTCCAGTTCTTATTTATTAAATTGACTAATGTAACCTTTCCATGGCTGTCCCAAGCCTCAAAACTTTTCCTGTTTTAGTAGCAATTCATTGGCTCAGCAGAGAAATGCTACTCAGGCTTATTCAGAAAAGTTGCGTGCCTTGACCCTGCGCATGCAGCGGAGACAACACTGCCTTTTCCCATTTCTGTTATGGCTTGGGATGGCTCTGCTTCTTGTCCAGGGAAGATGGCGAAGGTGTCTTGTCCTGCAGTGGTGGCGGCGCTCCCTGCCTGGTTCAGAAATACCCGGACATAGGCATGTGGTCCCCGTCTGAGCTGCTGCCCAGGCCCTGCAGCCGGGGTGTGGATGTTGCTGCTTCTCTGCGGTATTGTGGCTGCAGGTTGAAGTGGTTCCAGAAATGCAAAAGGCAGCTGGCCTCTGGGGATTAGTTAGTGGCTGCTGACCCTTGGATTTAGAAAGGATGTGTGCCAGCGCCTCTGTGGCTCTGCTTTGTTCTAAAGAGTTGGTCTGCCCAGCCTTTTGTCTCTGCAGAGACAGGGATCTAAACCTGATGATGTCTGTTGTCCGTTGTCCGTGTTGCTTGGTTTTACATTCCTTACGATAGAAGCAATTATTAGGATGACCGCGGATGCAGGGAAGCATCCACAGAGCGTGAAGTAAGCAGCTTTGCATCTACCAGCTGTCACAGGGTAGCTCAGGACGTCACCACCCCGCGGGCCTGGGGGCTGTGTGGGCTGCGTGGGGCTGCGGCTGTCCCCAGGACGAGTGACCAGCAAGCATGGCAGCCTGTCCAGGTGTCGGTGAAGGCACAGCTCCCTTCGATGAGTCAGCAGTGAGGGAGGGCTGCTTAAGTGCACGTTCAAATATTTTACGTCTGTTCTCTGCTGAAAACCATTGTGGATATTATACCTGAGGGCGTCCCAGTGGTTAAAAGCATCATTATGTTCGGAAATATGCTAATGTAATTTGCACCCAGCGTCACAAGCTGAACATTTTGGAGGGCGCACGATGCACCCCAAATATACCGAGTGGTTTCTTCTTTTTGTTGAAACTGCTATTGATGTATAACTGTTTCTTGGATCTGCCAGTGCCTTTTATAGACTGGGCTTGGATGGATTCGCAGATCCTCAGTAAGGATAAGCGGCGTTATTGTTGTGTTACGAGAACCGCAGACTGCAGAGGCCTCTCACCCTGGCCTGCATTCGGTGCTGAGAGTGAGTCCTGCTTGGTCTGCTTCCTGCCGCTCTCCGCCGCCCTCCTCACCACTCCCCGCCTCATCCCCCTTGCTGTGCCCAGCCCCTGGCACCGTGTCTGCGCCTCTGTCCTCAGAAGCTGTCTCCTGCCCAGCCAGTGGCTGGTCTCCTCAGTCCTGCAGTCTTTGCGCAGTGTCTTTCCGGTGGCACTTTCCGCAGGGAGGTCTGCTGTGACCATTTAAAGTAGCACAACCTCTCTCTTCACCCGAGTTTCCAGCCGTGGCCCTTCCTGCTGTCTGACGCTGATCTTGTTTGCTTGTTTGCTTGTTTGTGGTCTGCTGCGCTGACCCTGAGTGCAGCTGTCCAAGGCCAGCAGCTTTGTTTCCTTCCCTGCTGAACCCGTGGGGCCAGGGGCAGTGCCTGAGCTTAGCCAGCACGGAGTAAATGCTGATGAATTTGTGGCAGAACGGGTCCCCTGGCGCTGCCTGTTGCGGGTGACTCCGAACAAGACGGCCGTTGCTCTCCAGGGGTTGTAAAGATAGGGTGGATGGCTGTCCCTGCTGTAGTTCGACTCAGACAGCACCGCCACACACTGTCCCTGACGCGCAGATGCCGCCAGATGTGAGAGCACAATTCTGTGGGGTGTGGAAGTGCTGATTTCTGTCAGTGGCACCCAGAGTGGGAATATGCTCCGGAGGAGGAGAACATGGGGCTGGGACAGCCCAGGGAGGTTGGTGAAGCAGGTTTTGGTTTCTGATCAGTAAATATTGGGGCTGTGACATGATTTTGGTGATAGAAATAAAAGTAGTGTGAACAGTGTCAGTTAGGTTCTTGTTGAAAATATTGGGTGTGTTACATTTTCCCGTGGCCAACGAAGAGAGTTGGTAATACCTGCTTTATCCGTGTGCCTACGCTGTTTCCATCGCAACTTCCTCCCTATCAAGGACCCTGCATGAGGGTCTCAGTGAACCGCGTCTGGTGGTGGGTCTGCCTCTTCAGCCTTACTTCCTGTCCCCTCGCTGATTCGTCAGGCCGAGTTTCCCACCTGTGACCGTTGGGCCTCCTAAACCGTCCTCTGGCTCTCTCTGCCTGACCACCCTGTGTCCTTGCTTCAGATGGGGCTTTCTCTCTGACGCCTCTGTTTCCCATTCTTCTTAGTATGTGATAGTGTGTGATACTCGTATGCCGCTTACGTTTTAGTTTGAGTCTTTCTTATGTCTTTTCTGTCCCTTAAGCCCATGATGAGTGTGCTTAATGGAAACCAGTACAGAAAAATAAATGAGAGCCTGAATATGATGAGACAAATGTCTGGCTTCAGAGCCCTCTGGTGACCCCAGTGGAGGCACTCAGGGGCGCTGGGTGGGCGTGGGGCACAGCACTGTGGCGTAGTGCCTACCCTGCCCGCTGAGATTTGCAGGCTGTGGATTTACTAATCTAGAGGTTGTGGAAACTAGAACGCGGGCGTTGAAGTTCATAACTGGTCTTACTCTCTTCGTGTTTAGAGAAGGCTCTGAGCAGTTGCTTCCTTGGGCCCAGCTCTGCACTACGCAACTGGAGTCCTCTAGCAACAGAATGAGACGTCCCTGCAGTTTGGATTTTAGTGTCCCCCAAGCTCCTGTACCCAGGGTGGTGCTGTGGGGAGGTGACAGGCCTGGCGGGGCAGGGAGTGGGTGTGGGGTGGGGTGTGTCTTTGAGGGGAATGCCTGGCAGCTTTTTGCTCTTGCCGGGACATGCCTCCTTGTCAGAGGCCCGAGAACCACAAGACGCGCTGGCCATGGAGGGAAAGCAGGTGGTAGTGGACCTCCTCTCTCTCTGAGTTGACCTCACTGCAGGTGTTTGTTGGAGGAATGGAACGCTGACTCGCACAAAAACTGTGGGCTAAAAGGATTAAATTTGAGGGCTATTGAAGTTGCTTAGGAATCCCTTGTAGTTGCTTTTCTAAAATAATGAAGTTAATTTGAAATTTAAAAGAAAGTAAAACTAGAAGAATTATTAAACTTCCAATAATTGTCTCTTCTCCATGAAAGTTTTGCTTTCCTAAAATACCACTCAGGTGGGGCACCTTGTATCTGCCCGCGTGGCTTGCACCACAGCACCGTGGAGGGCCCTGAGGGCAGGCCTGCGAGCGGTCCCCACCGGCCCTGGCCTTGCTGGTGCCAGCACAAGCTGCCCTTGGGGGAGGTGGCTGGGTGGGCACCAGGGCAGCCTGGGGAGGCTGGGGGGAGTCTCCTGGGCGCAGGTGCAGGGGTCAAAGGTGAAATCAGGCCTTTTCTAGAGATGTTTTTCGTATGGTTTCCTTGACTTCAAAACAGGAAGAGAGTTCTGCTTCATTTTTCCTGTGCCCTGCCCTCCTTCGCAGAGAGTGAAATGTATGATTTTAGAGGCTGGGCTTTTTGGCTGAGTGACCTTGGGCAAACTGCTGATCTCCCTGGCTACTCCCCTGTCGGGAAGGGAGCTCGTACCTCGCTCCTGGAACTGTTGGGGAGATCAGAGGAAGCGCAACAGTGTCGGAAACAACGCCTGGAATGCAGTAAGCCACTCAAAAGTGAACTAGTAGTGGGAGCGGGGTTTTCGTGGGTTCCCTGGGGACCAGACCATCATTGCCAATGTAATTTCTATTACAAGCTTTAAAGGATTAAATAACAAACCATTTTAATCAAGAGTTTTCAGTACAGCACAGATCCAACCAGAGTGGGCATGTAGTCAGGAGAAGGAGAATGAAAATTAGTATTTGGAATTAATTAATGTTAAGAATTGGTATTTCTCAAGGTCAGTGAAAACACTTTTGTCACTGTCACCAATATAGGACAAATAAAAATGTTCGCAGACTGCATCTTTTCTCCAACAAAATTTATTGAGGTATTTCCTTGCCGTAACAAATGGCGATGAAACATTGAGTGTGTTCTGTGCCTTGGAGGCACAGCAGTGTGCGAAGGAGAACGGGCTCTGCTCCTCGAGGGGCGGCACAGCTGGAGAGGAGACGTCAGACACACGTGTCCAGCGGTAAGGTAAGCAGTTGCAGGGTGGGGGAGACAGTCTTAGGACAGAGGTGGGCAGCGGAAGGCCCCGTGTTGGGTCTGTGGTCGGGCAGGTGATACTTGAGTAGAGAGCAAAGGGTAGGGACGAGCTTGCGGAGGGAGGGGCCGGATTGGGCAGGGCGGCCCTCAGTAGGACTGTGGAGGAGCCGTGGGGAGTCCCGGGCACTCCCACGGAAGCCACTCTCCACTTCGCGGGGTTACTGCTGCTTTCTGTGCTCTTTGCCGCAGAGCTGTGGCACCTGGGTATCTTTGAGAAGGCTCAGTGCCAAGGCGTCCTTCTGAGTCCTGATCGTGCAGTCCTGTGGCAGGCCGACCTGCAGCCCTGCTGGTGTCACGTGGGTCCCTGTGAGGGCCGGGGCCACGGGGCACAGGCAGGCTGCCAGTCAGGAGTGGCGCACAGCTTCGTGTCGTCCAGAACTGGCTCGTTAGTCAGGCTCCGTGACAGACACGGCTGTTGTGACCTGGACTGATACCTGCATGCTGAGTGCCGACGGGTGTGTTTCCTTTCTCACAGAACTCTGGCCACGCCAGGAACCATCCAGAAACTCAGCAATCAGCACTTCTGGAACTTCAGTGTGTTTGGACGGAGTCCCTGTAGATAATGATCAGTTATGAATTTCTGATGTCAAGTCGGCTCTCAGCTGGCTCTCAGCTGGCTCTAACTGCAGGAAGCCCTCTGGAAAGTCACTTCAGCCATTGCTAGGCAAACAGAGCTGTTCTTCAAACCCAGTGCTGGGAAGGGCCGCGCGGTGGCTGCAGTTGCCGTCTTCCCGTGCTGGTCACCGCCCAGGCCCGAGAGCGCCGCGCACAGCCGTAGTCTGGGCCGTAAAGCTCAGGGGTCCCCTGCGTTAGTCTGTGTAATAGCCCAATGAAAGACAGATCCCCTCGTGGCCCTTTCGGGGGGAAGGAAGTGTGTGGCTGTGATGCGTGCACTGCCCCATGTGGCGGGGCGTGTGTGCGTGCACGTGTGTGCAGAAGCTTGCGGAGCACCCTGACTAGTGAGAGCCCCTGGTTGGCTAGTCCAGGCTGCGGTGGGCCTCTGACACCCAGGGCCGAGTCACTTTCTAAGGGTGCAGGCCTGAGAGTGGCAGAGCTGGGGCTGGGCCTGGCGTTCGGGGCCGTGGTGCTCAGTGAATTGTAACGAAAGGTTCAGTGACGTGTTACAAGAAGCACACAGTGTCTGGTTACTCCAAGCCACCAAACCTAGTCTTTGTATCTTTGCCCTGCACATTTTATGAAAAAACAAAATTTAGTTGTTACTAATGCCGTAGAAACAATTTATTTTAAAAATATGGAAGGCCAAATAAAACTAAAGAAAGAAAGCGTTGGCCTAGAATACCTTGTATGTTTTATAATCAACTAGGTAGTAGATTTTGCCAGTGGAATATGATTCCACAATCATAACGTCATCAGGATTTAGCTAAAGTAATAGGTGTATCGGTAAACCTGCCTTCATCTTGTAATCCCACAACTCTGAGGAGGATCACAGGTGAGAGCTCAGCCTAGGCAATTTTGCAGTCTATTCAGATCCTATCTCAAAATGACAAACGGGGCTGGGGATGGGACTCATTACCAAGGCCCTTGTTCAATCCCCAGTAACAACAACAAAAAATTTAAACTGGCGGTCGGCTTCATAATCAATTTTTTCCTTAAGGTGAGGAATAAACATTGAATCTCTTTAAATTATTAAATAGCTTATAATAACAGCCTGTTTTCTAAACGTTTGCAAATTGTGTGCATCATTTAGATTTATGGCTGCATTTTTCCAGGTGAAGAGGGAGACTTGGAACTTCTGCAAGCGAAGAGTCACCTGATCACAATCCCTCTGGTTGGAGCAGGTGGTGATGTCTTCATGCTTGGGTGATGGCTTTAAGCAGCAGTGATACATGTAGAATGTGAAAGGAGGAGCTCGAGTGTAGGCGCTGTCTGAGCGGGCGGTGAGGTTAACTTGTTCTGCCCTAGAAAAGCCCTGCCGCAGTTACTCTGTGTCTTTAATACCCCGGGTTGAGTGATGAGGTGAGGGCGTGCTGTTGGCTTGTCTTTCATCCACTCAATTAAATGCATTTGGCTGAATACTTAAGCTGTTTTCACTCTCACTGTCAGTCCCTCTCTTTACCCACTATTTTTTTGGTAAAGGGTTGGAGAAGGAATGTGATCTGTGTGTCCTGTTTTGAAAAGTCCTGTCAGGACTCACTAGCTGCTCGGCACTGGCACTTCCTCTTCCCGGTACCGAAGCTCATGCCGTGCTGCCCGGCCTCGCGAGTGTGTTTATTGCCAGAGGCAGAATTCCTGGCGTGGTTGAGGCCTGGCCCCTGCAGTTTCTGCCAGCGCCCCAGGCCGGCCATCTTCTCGCGTCATGCCAGCCCAGTGCCGGCGGTAGAGACCGCAGCGTGCTCCTGCTGCCCGGCTGCCTTCGTGGCTTTCTGCCCTCTTGTCCTGGCTTTGAAGGAAGCCTGACAACGCTCCTCCGCGGACATTAGTCAGCTACCCCCCCTGTAGTAAATAGGCTAATGCTGGGTGTCCATTACTCATACCCACAGCCCTGAGGACGCACGCCTGTTTCCTGGGGTCCGTGGGAAGGAGTCATGGGGTGGCGGCGTGGAGGGGCGGGGCAGTAGGAGGGTAGGAGAAAAAGATACAGAAGAAAATGGCTTCTGATGCTGTGTAGACCTGGGGCAGTTTGTGCCGAGTGTGTCCGTGGAGCTGAGCTTTTGCAGGACAGGCCAGACTGGTCCGCGTACCAGGCCTGGCAGGTGGAGATGAGGGGTCCGGGTTGAGGAGCCCGGATGTATCGGTAGTGTTCGAGAAGTGTTCGAGGAGAGTCAGCCTGCGTGCAGAGTCTGGCTGTCCTGTTACTACCGCGGAAGGTCAGGCGGGCTCTGCGCCTCCGACCGCGCAGCCTGCGCCGGAGTGTTGGAAAAGCTCAGCTTGTGTGCGCAGCTCTTGCCCAAAATACGTTGAGGTGCGATTTTGATGGCTTGCACTTGGAGGTTGACTGACGGGTGCCAGAGCTGGGCTGACTCTTTCCGACCCGTTTCCGACCCGTTTCCGACCCGTTTCCGACCCGCAAATAGAATTACCGCTTTGGTGTGAAGAAACTTGTGTGAGCGGATTTACCTTCTGAGGAGTTTGTTTGTTTGTTTTTCACAAATGTGCTGTCGTTTTATTTGTGGATGAAGAAACGATTGAAAGTGCTTTAAAGTATGTGAAGGGCTGGCGTTGCCGCTCAGTGGCGGGTTGCTCGGCTCCGTGACGAGGTCCTGGGTTCCATCCCCAGCACTGCTGAGTAAATATATAAATAGATGAGGAAAAATACTTTCCAGTCATCTCAGTTCCCTAGCTTCCATCGTTAGGAGGAAGGGGAAAGACTTATCTATGAACAAATACATTTTTTGTTTTTTAAAACCTTCTTTTCATGTGTAATATACATGCAGAAAAGGTCCATAGACCGCAGGCGCAGGCTCACTGAGTGTTCACAGCCTGTGTGCTCACACTCCACGCTTGTAGATGAAGCTTTTAGGTTGTGTCTCCCCTCCGACTCACACTCAGGTGAAAGGGTTTGAAGCTCTGCATTCACAGTCGGAGGGAGGGTACTTTACAGAGCAGATGGGGCAGACGCTGCCGGCTGCAGTGTCGGTGGCATTAGCCCGAGAGAGACTTCCCAGCGTCGCTGTTGGAAGGGGTGATAGTGCTTGGCGGGTAGAAGACCGTCTGACTTCCGTTTCCTCTGCGAGTTTCTCAGCGCCTTCCCTGGTCACAGGCACGCAGCCAAATTATTATAGATGTTTAAGGAAATGAGTTAGGGCAGGATTCTTGCAGCTGCCGGTTGGCCATTGGTGCAACGTGAACGCAACTCAGTGGGGTCACAGCAAGCATTACAGAAAAGTGAAGAAGTGAACGTGAGAGTGGGCAGCATGTAGTAAAAGTTGTGTTATCACTTGGGAAACTTTCACTTCCTGTGGCTCATGCGTGTGGGGTCACTACTGTGTATGTGGAGTGGTTTACCTACCGAAGTGTGAAAGCCATTGATTAGAGATATTTTAGGATGTTTATCAAAGTTCTTAATATGTAAAAAGTACTGAACTGAATCTTAGCTGTGCTCTCTTTACATCCTGAGTGGACTCAGTGCAACCTCTTTTAGGACTTAGGACTTCGATTATTGCAAGGGTATTGTTTACAGTGTCTCCCCCGCTCCCGGTCCCACTGAGCACCTCCCAATGTGTTGTCTAGATGGTAGAGCCACACAGCCAAGCTCATTGTCACCGCACGGTTACAGAGTGGATTGGCCACACATGCTGCCATGTTCTCCACACTAGATGCTGCAGCTCCAGGCCCTTCGCTACAGAGCTCTACTGGGTATCACAAGCGACGGATCTTCGGGGGAGACCCTGTGTGCACCGTAGTGTGTGTGTGGGGGGTGACATCCGAGCTCCGCGGGATGGGAAAGGGAAGCTAGTATCTCAGGTTACCAAAGTTGTACAGAAGGCCGGGGACCTTTGTGAGAATTTGATCAAGCCAGAAAGACGTAGAAATAACAACTGCTGTTGGGATTGACGATGAAACTGGAGAAGGAGGAAAAAACAGTCCTTTTGTTTCTGTTTGTTTTTGTGAGTCTCACTACGTAGTCTAGGCCAACCTTGAAGTCACTATGTACTCCAGGGTGGCCTCAAGCTTGGGATCCTCCCGCCTCAGCCTCCTGAATACTGAGAATATAGGCATGGACCACTATACCCAGGAAGACAGTCTTAATTTTGGTGACAGTGTATTGTTATCAGGAACAACAGTTTTTAGTGGTGGAACTAATACATTTTATAAATGAAAAGTGAGGTCATGACTGCAATAATAAAAACTCCAGTTATAAATGAACCAGAAAAATAAAGCATCCTTTCTATTACATGTGCCCTATATATTTTGTACTATGAGCTCAACTGAAACATTGTACTTCCAGATACTTGGAATCTTCCTCAACT